TGTTTTTATAAAACATAATTATGTTTTACTTATGATACCATTCAATATGTTTGAAAGGAAAATGAATGGGTTTTAAAAATTTAGGGTTGCCTCGGCAGCCCAGTGTGGCACTTTAGGCCTAATCAGGTTTAGGGTGTTACACCTCCCATAATTAAAAAAATTCTTATTAAGCCTCTCAAAATTTCAAAAATTTTAGTTAGACCCTAATATTTTTGGAAAAAATATAGATTAAAGCTTTCAAAATTTTTGAAAATTTTAATTTAAAATTCTAAAACTTTTAAAGATTTAAGTTGGCCTCCCAAACATTTTCACCAAGTTCCATCACTGGGTGACCATATCTTAATTAAATAAAAATAAAAGTAACTATATATAGTGAGGAAAAGTGGACAAAACACAAACATAAGTGATCTATCATGTAGTTAACCCTTTTTAATGAAACGTCTCCTTTTTATTATTAATTTTGCCCACCCAATTAATTTCCTATACTTCAAAATTTCATCCATTTATCTCTTTGTTAATATTAACCATTAGATTTAATAATTTTTTATTAGTTGGTTTCAAATGTCACATATTAGTGTCGTCAAGTGAAATTTTCAGGATTTCATTAATTTTTAAACGATTTTTCAATTTTTTATTAGTTAGTGTCACATGTCACATAACAATGTTGTCAAATGAATTTTTAGGATTTTAATATTTTAAACTTTTTTTAATAAAGTTGTAAATTTTATATGACATAACTAGTTAAATTATTTAAATCTAACAGTCAAAAACTAGTTAAATTTTTAATTAATTTATTTTCTCAGTTTGAATGCTTAGTTGATTTAATTTATTGATTTGAAGACTCAATTGGATGTAAAATTATTTAAAGGTTTAATTATCTTTTTTATTTTTTATGTTTGAAGACTTTAGACATCGGGACGAGTTTGGCTTTGAAAAGTACGGTGAAAAAGGTTTTGTTTTTAAAAGTAACTTTTAAAATTACTTCTTGATTTAATTAAAATTTTTTAAGTGTTTGAAATTATAGTTAAAAATACTTTTAAGTAGGTAAATGATCATTTTAGACTTTATATTATAAAATTTTAAATAAATAATTTAAAATATTTAAATTTATTAATATTATAGTATATAAAATTAATATAATTAATATATCAATATTAATTTAAATATATATTTTCTGGTATATATTTAAATATATATTTCTTAAATTATTAAAACAAAATGTAATTAATACATACATTTTAAAAAATACATAAAAATTTAAAATTCTTTCCTTGTAAATGAATGGAGCCTACGTGACAAAAAGGTAAAAATATAAATATGCTTTCAAACCCAATTTGAAAATAGAAAAATTGGATTTTTCATGTTTTGTGGTTAGTTTAAAACTATTGTTTCAAATGCATATATCCTTTTAACATTTAGCCATTTTGTATTGCTTCTTCTTTTAAAATGTAATTTTTGATTAAAAATTATTTCTACACAGCAATACAAAATTGGCCTTAATTAGTAATACAAAAAAAATCAAAAACCCTAATAATTGTTTTTGGCTTAATATAAAAATAAATATTTAAAATTGATTTTTGATGTCTAAAGAACTTTACATTAAAAATAGATGCATAATATTCTCATTTTATACTTTTAAGTGCCTAACATTTTTGACGTTATATCTTTAGGTGTCAAGTTTATAAGGATCTTTAAAAAATATTATTATCTAACACGTGTTATCGCTATATTTTTTAAAAAATTAAAAAGCGTTTCTAGAAAAAAAAATTTACTCCCCTTGTCACCCTTCTCAAAAAACCCCCAACCCACCCTTCTTCTGACCATCCAAGTATGTAAAAGCTTCTGGATGGATTGCCTATCAAAGAACAGGAATCTGAAAAGCAAAAGAAAAGAAATCCCTATATAATTACACAACTGTATTACTTGAACTTGAAGTAGAGTAATAAAACAACTTTCGGTTAGACAGTCTTCTTGTACTAGCAATATCTATAGGATGCAAGTAGAGTCTCCGCCGGTCACCAAGGTGACCCAGGTGGTGGAAGGGGAAGGCAATGTAGAAAGAATAAATAATAGATTCCGACCAACGGAAGGTGGTGGCGCTTTCGAAGAAGAGATGCCAAAAAGATCTTGGAAAGATGCAGTGATAAGCCCTACCCTTCTTCCCAAAAGTTTTCAATTCTCGACTGAAGTTGAAGATGTAGATTCAGACGAAGAAGAAACTTATGAAGGGGACGACATCCTGACAATCGAGATTCCTCAAGAATTGAAAGGAAAGTTGAGGAAACCATGTAGAAAGGCGCTTATTATCAAGGTATTGGGTAAAACAGTGGCCTACAAAACCCTAACCGGTAGGATAACAAATTTGTGGAAACTAGAAGGTGAGTTTGAATGTATCGATCTTGGGTATGGGTTTTATGCAATTAAATTTCAGAATATGTTGGATAGAGCTAAGGTTCTCATGGAAGGCCCTTGGAAGATTATGGACCATTATATCACGGTGCAGAGATGGTGTCCCAATTTCGTGACAGCAAGCGCAAGTATTCCTTCCACGGCAGTTTGGATCCACATCCCAGGGCTCCCTATTGAGTTTTTCGAGGAAAGTGTCATGTGCAATATAGGAAAACTTGTTGGAAAGCCCCTCAAGATTGACTATCACACAGCTTGGTCAATAAGAAGACGATTTGCCAGAATATGCGTGGAAATTGATCTAGGCTCTCCTCTGCTGTCTAAGGTACGTATAGGGAAAAGGGTCTACAATATTGAATATGAGGGTTTGCACTCGATCTGTTTCAATTATGGCATGGTGGGTCACAGAGTCACAGACTGCTTGGCCAATCAGAAAGTAACCCCGATAAGCAGAGAGGTCAACATAGAACCACAAGCTCAAGAACACCAAGAAAGACAGGAGGACGAACAAGAGAAATTTCAACCTGAAGAGAAAGAATTAGATAAGGATAGATACGGACCCTGGATGTTAGTTCAAAGGAGATTGCGAGGAACTAGGAATAACTAGATTAATCAAAGTAGTAGAATTCATGAATCACGACAACATAATAGATTTGATGGTTTGAATAATATTGAGGGGAATGAGATGAGTAAGGAAAAGAATGATCAAAGCCGGAACCAAGAGGTATACAATAACACTAATACGACTGGTAGGTCAGCAAAAGACATGAGATCGATCAGAAGTGAAGAAGGCAGCAGCAAAGCTAAAGTTAGTAACTTGACAGAGAGCTCAGGAGACGAGTTCCATAGGAAAACAAATGAGTCTTTTCAACCTCCAAAATTCCTTGCGAGGAGAGGCGAACAGGGTGGATTAAAAGGAAGCAAAAATAATGGGGGAAACAGTCAAAGAGTTGGCATAGAACCAGAATTAGAGGTGAGCAAGAGGAGGGAATATCACGAAAAACCATCTATGGAGGTTGAAAATGTTACTAGTATAGCTGATTTCCAGGCTGTTCGGGAGATAGAAACTGAACCAATTGGACCAGAACATGTTGATTACACTAATGAGATGATGGCCTTTGAGGCTTGCACGAATAATAATTTCCCTTAATGAAGTTGATTTCTTGGAATTGTCGTGGAGTAGGTAATAAAAATTTCATTAGGAACTGTAGAGAGTTGATTAAAGAGGAGAATCCAACCATTATTTGTCTCCTTGAAACAAAAGCAAAGACATGTACTAGTCCTTTGCTCCAAAAAAAGTTGAAGTTCGATAATCACTTTGAGGTACCCTCTTAAGGCCTTCGGGGAGGCTTAATTCTTCTTTGGAATTCGAATTTGCATGAGGTTACCATTCGACAACACACAGACCAGGTTATTCACTGTGAAATTAAAGACGACAATAAAAGATGGTTGTTTTTCACTGTCTATATCCAACCTCATTCGTTTAAAAAAGAAGCTTGGGAGAACATCTACAATTACTCTACTACTATTAATCAGCATTGGATAATAGTGGGTGACTTCAATGACTTTGCTACATTGGAAGAACATTTAGGCAGTAACTCTGATTGCATCAGCCGTATCATCAAGTTTCGCGATCACTGGAATAGATGTAATCTGATGGATGCTGGCTATGTTGGTAATAAGTTTACTTGGACTAGACACCTCCATGGAAAAGTCACTCTTCAGGAAAGACTCGATAGGTTACTTCATAATATTGAAATGGTCGATTACTTTCTGAACCTTAAAGTGGTTACATTAATAAGAAAGAGTGTACTCTGACCATAATCCGATTCTGATTAACACAAATTGGGATATTCTTGGAGACAAAGAAAAACGACCTTTAAGATTTGAAGCAGCTTGGCTTACACATGAAGAATTTAACAAAATCTTCAGTACAACATGGGATAAAAAGAAATACTCTCTTGTGGAGGCAGTGGAAGAGACCAAGCAAGCGATCATAGATTGGAAGGAGAGTACTTTTGGGAACATTTTCAAACGCAAGAAGACCCTGCTGAAACGAATCAAAGGAATCCAAAGATCTACAAATTATTTTCATTCGATATACCTCCAAGAATTGGAAAAGACCCTTGGCGCCGATTATCAACAAGTGTTGGAGCAGGAGGAAATCTTTTGGCTTTAAAAATCTAGACGACTGGATTTTGAAAGGAGAAATGAACACGAAGTTTTTTCATCTTACGACCATGGTAAGGCGCAAATTTAATAAAATTGTTGGGCTGTACATTGGGAATGACTGGATCACAGAAAAATAGACCCTTTGTCATCATGTGTGTAAATTTTACAAGGGGTTGTTCACTGGGAAAGAGCACGTTCAGTTGTCAAGAGATTACGATCATTTCATGCCCAGATTAAACGAAGAAAGAACCGAGCTAATGAACCAAGCCACTATGGAGGAAGTAAAAGTAACATTGTTCTCCATGAAGGGTTTAAAAGCTCCGGGTCCGGACGACATTCAACTCATTTTCTATAAACGAAACTAGGACACGGTTAAAGACACCATACGTGAGTTCGTGAATAGAACCTTGGAGTTGGGAAAGATGGAGACAAAAATCTTAAGAACCTTCCTGGTGCTAATTCTGAAAATTACTGCAGCTGACAACATGACTCAAGTTCGGCCAATTAGGCTATTGAACACGTCTTACAAAATCTTCTCCAAAATTATCGTTCATCGCTTGTGTTCTGTGTTACAAAGGCTGATTGGTCCTTACCAAAACAGCTTCCTTAAAGGTAGAAGTACATCGAACAATATATTGATAGTTCAGGAGGCAGTACATTCCATGATGAACCTTAAAGGAAGGAAGGGTACAGTGATTGCCAAAATTGACCTACAGAAAGCCTATGACAATGTTTGTTAGGAATTTCTCAAGAAAACCCTCCAGGACTTCAATTTTCCTGGAAGATTAATAGAGGTAATAATGTTTTGCATTACTTCCACTACAATTGAACCGTTATAGAATGGAGAAATCACCGAGAGCTTGAGCCCTGAGCAAGGTCTACGCCAAGGTGATCTGTTATCGCCTTACTTATTCATATTGGTTATGAAAAGACTTTCCCACATCATCATGGAGAAAGTGGATAGGGGTATATGGAAACCGTTTAATAGATCGAGGGTGGAATTAAATTAAGCCACTTATTTTTTACGGACGATCTATTCCTGTTTGTAGAAGCGGATTCCAATCAAATGCAATATATGAAAGGTTGCCTAGATGAATTTAGCCGAGCAGCTGGAGTTGAGGTAAATCTCCTGAAATCAAAACTGTTTATTTCCCCAAATATTAGTTCTTCCACAGCTCAATATCTAAGTGAATTGTGTGGCATCCCCCTTACGGATAATTTGGGAACTTACTTGGGAGTCCCTATAATCCACAAAAGAGTTAATGCAGGAACCTATGATTCTCTCATTGAAAAAGTAATGAAAAGATTAGCAGGCTGGAAAGGAAGAGTCCTAACCATGGCGGGAAGGAAAACACTCATCCAAAGCGTCACAAATGCCATTCCAATACACATGATGAAAACTTCCGTACTTCCTGTTTCGGTCTGTAGAAAGCTGGACAGACTCAATTGTAATTTTTTGTGGGGAGGTGACATAGTGAATGCTCACAATCATCTGGTCAGCTGGGAAAAAGTGTGTCAATCCAAAAAGACGGGAGGGTTAGGCATCCGTAAAGCAAGATTAATGAACATCGCTCTCCTGGCAAAAAATAGCTGGAAACTTCTCACCAGACAAGAGAACCTATGGTGCAAAGTGTTTGAAGGAAAATATCTAAAAAAATAAAGGATTCTTTGAGGTAGATTCAAGAGGAAATACCTCTTCAACCTGGAGGTGCCTGCTACGAACTCGTAATTTAGTTAAATAGGGGCGTAAATGGCAGATTAAGTCAGGTGTTCAAGCTAAGTTCTGGCAAGACTGGTGGGTAGGTAAAGAACCATTGAAAAACTTATATCCCCTAATGGATAACCCGAGCAGAATTGAAGAGGTGGCTAGATACATAGACGATGATAGATCTTGGAATATCCGAGGAATACAACACATGATCGCTGAAGAAACAAAGCTGGAAATTCAAAAAGTTTCGATATCGCAATTAATCGATCCTCACGAACAGGATGTAAACACTTGGGGCTTCTCAAATGATGGGCAATTTACGGTTACTTCAGCTTATCAAACCATGTCTAACATGGAGGTGGGTGGTCATCATGGTTAGAATCTAATGTGGGTATGGAGAACTAAAGAATCAGATTTTTTATTTGTTTTCCTACCTTGACAAGCTTAGTACGAATGAAGTTAGATGCAAGAAGAACATGACTCAGAATGCGACTTGCAAAGATTACCGAGATGATACAGAGTCAATTGATCACATATTTCGGACGTGTCGAGCAACAAATTTCGTTTGGGAAGAACTACAAGCGAAAGAGCAGGACAGTCGATTTACTTCGTTGGAGTTTAGGAGTTGGCTGAAAAGAAATTGTCTTTTAAAGAAGGTCGGGTTGGATGGATTAGAATGGGGTCCTTTGTTTATGGCTACAATTTGGGGACTGTGGAAGAGCAGGAATGAAAGGATTTTCAAAGAAACGAAGTTTGATCCCTTTAAAGTAATAAATTATGCTAAACAATTTGCAAGGGATCTAGAGAAGTCTCTGTCAAATGCGCATAGAAGGATGGTTCAAGATCCTTGCTTGATTAAATGGATAAAACCTCCTGAGGGAGTATGGATTCTTAATACTGATGGTGTGTATAAATTGAATTCAAGCATGGTTGCTGCAGATGGTTTAATCTAGGACAGTAATGGTGATTGGATTACGGGATTCATGTTGAGATTAGGGAGGGTTAATAGTTCGATTGCGGAAATTTGGAGGGCTCGTCATGGTCTCAATTTAGCTAAAAGTCTTGGTTTAAGAAATCTGGTCCTAGAAATGGACGCTAAATGGATTGTGGACCTACTCAATGGAGATAGGAAGGAAGATTTTCCAGAATTTGAGTTGGTTACTGATTGTTTAGATATTATAAAGGAAGTATGGGTGATTGAAGTTCGACACATATGGCGAGAAGGAAACAAATGCGCTGATAAACTGGCGAGTCTGGCGTTCATTCAGTAGAAGATTCCTCCATTTTGCAGTCGCCTCCAATGGAAATTCAAACAATGTTGGCAGCTGACAAGAACGAAGCGAACGAGTTGAGATTTTAATTTTTTGTTTTCTCCTAATGTACCCAAAAAAAACCCACCCTTTCATCCTCTCTGAATGCTCCCAAGAATTGGGATGGTATTGCACCAGAAAATTGCGATGCAAGTTCACTAGGAATTGCGATTCCTTTGCATCAAATATATCCCATCCTTTGATTTATAAATTAAGGATTTTTATAAATGGAGAATTAGGGCTTATTATTAGGTATTTGAAATTTTAAAGATTAATGGAATTAGGTGATGATAAGAGCCACGATCGATCATTGAGTGGACTGTGACATATGGGTGATCGTCCAACATTGACGAAAGTAACCAGTGATGACTGACGACAGCTGAAAATGGGATGGAAATTAGATATTTTAAGATTCTTAGGTTATTTTTATAATTTTAAAAAAATTTGGGTCTTTTCTAAAAAATAATAATATTTTTAATTTTTTGAAAAATAATATGAGGGCGACATGTGTTAGTTAACAATAAAATTTAACGGTCGTTCGAGTGTAGGCACTAAAAGTGTAACGTTAAAAACGTTATACACTTATTTTGAACGAAAACTTCTTCAGACATCTAAAATTAATTTTGGGTATAATTTAGGCACATATTTTTACATTAAGCCTAACTTTTTTTTAACAGAGGACATTGTAAGTATAAATTCATAGAAAGATAATACATCAAAAAATAATCTTTAAAATATAATTTAACAATTCTAACAAATTTCATGAGGAATCAGATTCCAAATATCAAAAATAACATGAATTGAAGGAGACACAATTAAGGTCTTTAGAGTAGTCAAAAAGCAACCACCTATTCCTCTAAGCCAAGAAAAGCTCATCTAAACATAAAGTTTAAGAATCTCTCTCTTTTATAGCTTTATAAGAAAACAAACATCATACACAAATTAATCAAAACTTTCCCAGCATTTATGTTTTTCGTTTCCTTGTTTCTGCAATTGCATTCCTTTAAGAAGAAACAGATACTAGTGGGTTTTTGCCATGGAAAGTTCATCATCAAAAGCTCAAGTACTGAAGCCAGTGCTTCTTAAAGCTGGCATTCCATTGGCGCTATCTGTTGCAGGGTTAATCTATGCAAGGATCATAGCCAAAGGAAGAATAAACCTTGAAGCTTCTTCAATGGAAGCTGATTCTCAAGAGTTCACAGGTGAAGCAACACTTAATTCAAGTGGAGATGAAGGGGAAACGAGTTGTACAAGTACTGATCTTATGACCATGGTTAAAAGTTCGGAAATTCAGAACAGAATTGCCTACGAAGCAGAGATTTCGGGCCTAAGATCGCAGGTCGAACAACTTCAGAAGAGAGAATCGGAATTAGAAAGGAAGTTTATTCGTTTCTGTGATCTTAAAGAACAAGAATCCGTGCGTATGGAGCTTAGGAACACGTTGTTGTTGGAGACTTTGCAAGCAGAGTTCTTGGATAAAGAACTTTCATCCATGGAGGCCGAAAACAAAAGGGTTGAAAATATAGTTACGGAACATTTAATGGTTTTGGAGCAGGTTGAGCATTGGAAATCAAAGAACGGATTGCTTGAGAGACAAGTAAAGAGGCTGTTGAGAAAAACAAAAGGCCAAGACAAACTCTTAAGAGAAAAATATTCAAAGATTGTGGCAAAAGATGCAGAAATGAGAAGAAATGGTGAGGAACTACAAGGAAGAAGCAATGTCATCAAGAAACTAGTGGATGAAGTTAAAGAACTCAAATCTCTCACCGATCAATTGCAGGATCAGAAAAATGAGCTTTCAGTGAAGTTAAAATGGGCAGAGGAATCACTCTCTGCCATCTCAAAGGTATATGTAAATTTTACCATTAGGAACTTCACTTTTCGTACTCATATCCGACACTTACATTCGAGTTTGAACAATTTTAACCGAGACCCGAATTTTTGTATTTTCAGACTGAAGAAGAGGGGATACCTAGGGAGAAATACAACAAACTTGCAAATGACTATGAACAAGTTCAGCAGGAGAGAGCTGATGAACTTAAAGAAATCACATACTTAAGATGGTGCAATGCGTGCTTGACATACGAGCTGAAGCGATATCAACTGCTGCAAGAGTATATCGAGGGGAGCAACGATCATATCGAACAAGAAATTGAAGAAGGCGAAGAAAATGTAGGATTTAGAATCGAGCAGCAGTTAGATGATCCAGAAATGGTTGAGCCTCCCTTAAGTGTTACAAAAGGTGGTCGTGTTGGCTCCAAAAGGGAGAAATTGATTAAAAAGTTGAAGAAATTGGTGGAAGGAAGTGAGAAAATGAAGCCAAAGTTGGATGGTAAAGGTAAGCACGAAAGGAAGTGCTTTGGCAGGCATTCGGTTTGTGAAGAAATGGAAGGGGAGCATGTTGTTCAAGGAAGGACATCGTGTTCTAGTGTGTAAGAAATCTCATGTTTATGCCTGAATAATGCGGGCTCGGAGACATGTAAAATTCATGTAATGAACAAGCCTATAGTTGGAATTAAAATAGGAAAACTGCAGCTTGTGAAATAATGTAAAATAATTGCTGATAAAATACTTTCAAAGTTGGAAAATTATATGGTCAACGTCGCACGCCTAAACACACTATTAGTGTAACATATCAAACTACACCACTAAGCGAATATTAAAAAAACTCAATGATTACTCCATGATTAATCAATTTTAAGAATTTAATTGTAATTGTAGTTAGAATATAGTAATTAAATTATTATTTTTTGGGATAAATTATATATTTAGTATTTAAGCTATCACTTTCGTTCCATTTGAGTACCTAAATCGACTCTCGTAGAACATCGACACCAAGAAAGGTTTAAGAATAGGAATGAGCAATACTCGATTTAACTCGAAAAATCATTTTTTTTTCAATTTCAAGTTTTTATTTTTTTCAAATTTGAACCACTAGCTCCTAAACCTTCGTAGAATATCTGTGTAATTTCAATTACTCTTTTTGATAACAATTTTTTTATTTTTCAAATTAGCCCCTCAACTTTGTATGATTTCCTCATTTATTTAATTCATCATTCATTTTAAATCCGTTTTTGATCAAATTTGAACCACATGCTCATATGTCACTATAAAATACATTTGTAACTTAAATTCCTATTTTTACTAAAAGTGTACTATTTTATAATTTAGTCTCTTAACTTTATATTTTACCCAGTTGGGTCTTTTAATTGTAATTGTTTGCAAATTCTTTCATCTCATCATTTCCTTTACTCCTTTATACTCTCATCAATAATTTACCCTCAAAATATATTCTTTATAATATAATATTATAAATATATTTTATTATTTTTTATTTTATTTGATATATGAAATAACATTATAATGTGAAAACAATATGAATATGAATTTGAATATATATATATATATGGTTAGATAAAGTCAAAAAATTAGAACTGGTATGTACCATAATACTATAAATAATTATAATTATATTTGTATAGAAACTCAAACGGATAGACTCGACTCAAATTTCATAAATTCGATTCGACTTGAAAAATTTTAAAAAATTAGTGTCAAAAAATATAACTCGTCAACTTGAATAACTCGAAATTTTTTTACTCTACTCTATCAAATGCTCATCCTATTTATGAATGTACAAATGAAGATAAATATGTCACTTTAATTTTATTTAATATTTAATGATCTTATATTATAATATTATTATATTTATTTTTTATAGGATATAAATAATATAATATATAAAAATAACATATTTTAAATTTAAAAAATTGACTAACTCAGGATTCTAACCCTCTGTGCTAGGGTTTTTTTTATGCATTTTGGCACATTGTTTCTCTACTGTTTGTGGCCGTTTTTATGAGGTTTTCTCTGTTTCTAGTTTTGCTAGTTTTGTTTTAGGGCTTGGTTCTTTTACTGTGTGGTGATTCTATGAGTGATCTTGAGCGTGATTTGGATAATCTCGATTTAGGGGAAGAGGAGGAAGAGGCCCATACTCTAACGAGATCGGGGGACTCAACCCTGATATTTTTCGATTTTTGTTTGGCCAGCCAATTCCTTACAGCTAGTTTAGTGAATTTTTAGTCAATCCCTGCTAGGCATAGGGGGATGTTCACGAGTCCATGGCTACGTGAGGAAAGTGATAGTACTGGTTTGGCTGTTGCAAGGGAGGGGAGAATAAGACCGTGCCATGTTCTGTCTTGGGAAATATATGCTTGGGGATGAAAAAATAGGTGGAAAAGGTTTTTTCAATACAGGGGGAAGACATGACTCGATATGGGAATTCAGATAATTTTATGCTGGCAGTTAAGGAGAAAGACCCCATAGAGAAGCAGGAGAATGTGAAGAGGCAACAACTATTCCAGCAACTTTGAATGAGTTAATGGAAAACTTAGTTGGAGATCAGAATATATCGGTAGGCTTATCATCACAGGTTGGCCAATCACAATGAAATTCCTAAGTTGAAACGTTCGAGGATATATCGGACGGTTCCACGCATGGCAACAAAACAGGTTTTTAGCAGCATTTTTTTAATCATAGTGGCATTTTTAACCGCCGCTAAAAACATCTGTGGCGGAAAAAAACACCACCAAATGCGCCGCTAAAACCAAAGCCGCAGAAGGTAGCAGTGTTTTTCGTCTACAAACGCCGCTATATATCTTTTTATTTTGTGGCGTTTGTAAAAAACCACCGCTAAATGTTATGACATATAGTTGTGTTTATTCCCAAAAACGCCGGTAAAGGTCATGACATATATCGGTGTTTGTAAATAAAAACATCACTATTTACTATGTCTATGGTGTCATTTTTTGTATAAACGCCGCAAATGATCTAAACCTTTAGTGACTTTTTTCTAAAACGTTGGTATTGATTATGTATTTAGTGGCATTTGTTATACAAATACCACTAATTAACATAAATTTTGCAAACGTTGTTTCCCTCTCTTCTGTTGTCCAAATTTAAATTTTTAACCTGTAGCATTATCCAATAAACATGACATCCATAACAACAAACTTTAATTCCATAACAACCAACTTTAAATCCATTATAATAAATCAAACTTTACATTAACGTAATATATAATGCAGTTCAATATTGTTAACTAGAATGAACAAAGCATATATCTCAAATAAGACCTAAGATGGTGGACTCTGAGGTTGATTTTTTTCATATCTTATGCATTATAGCTTTAAGTTGATTTTCAAATTCTTGACATTTTTTTTATATGCTACTTTTCTCTCTGGTTCCCTTGCTTCATTTTTGACTTTCATGTTAGTCATTTTTTGATCAATTTCAACCAACTATTGTTTTAAACGACTAACTTCTAATTGGGAAGATTGACTTTGTGATGACATGTACTGAGATGAACTGGATCCAAAATATTTGGTGGGGATAACAAATGATCCTTGACAGCGAACCCGACCATATCTTTTAGGACCCAAAACTTTATTAATAATTTGATTTTCGATATCATCCGCATTAACAATACCATGACTTGAAGTCGTAGCTTCATACTCCGCTTAATAATTATTTTAAATAAAAATGTCATACTATAGATATAAATATAACATAATTCAAATCATGTGTCCAATAAATGTATCATAATTTCAGCAGCTTCAACAGTCATAGGAGTGTCATCCTTTTTTTGTATGTTTTATGTCAAAGAGTTTTATTCGTCAAACTTTACAACCAGACGTGTTTTTCTACAATGTAGAATAATAATTAAGTCTTGCAAAAAATTAATTAATAATATAATTAATTTTCGTTAGTTTGAGCTACCAACTGTAAATCACTATGTGAATAATCTATAATAACTCATCATTAGCTATACAAGCAAAGCTCTTCGATCCAACTGTGTGAGTAACTTTTGTTGTTGTTTGTTAGCAACACCAACATGCTCTCGGTCCTACAATTTGAAACAACCACTTATAAAGTCAATATTATAATTCCTTAATATTATTTTTTAAAAATACATCATACATGTCATTTCTTTGAACTCCAAAACTTGATTGCATCTTCCCATTGATACATGAGCATTCCAGGTAGGACAATTTGTAGCTTCTCTTCAAGGACGATATCATTCTTAAAGTATTTCTTTTTTAATGAACTCTCGTGGTCTCTCAATCTCTTCCCTAACACTTGCTTCAAATAATCGTCTAAGATCTCTAAAGAAAATTTCTCCTACAAATAACATAAGTTTTCAAAGTAAGTATAAATTACTATTGAACTGTTATGGATTATCTATTATAATGAATTATTACCTTGACAAAATCCAAAGCCTGATTTTTGTTATTATTTGGCATTTCAAGCAATGACTCATAATTGATCAGTAAAAGATTAGCATTATGTGCAACCATGCCTAAGTAACCGAATAGAAGACGTGCTTTTGGGTCAATAGGTTGACCGACATCGTTTCTTGAAACTTTCACACAGTGCTCAGGAGAAAGTTGGTATAATTCCTTCAACGTTGTACGTCCTCTAGTCTTGTGTGTTCCACCATTTCCAACTATATAAGAAATAATTAAATGTAAGTTTTCAAAATGAACCAACAATTAAAGAAAGTGTCAAACATTACCTTCAATTTCTACAGCTTCTTCAACAGTAATAAGAACTTCCGAAGAGTCAACAACAGTCGATTCCTCATTATTTGTTTGTTCCTCCTCTTGAGAAGCTCGAACAATCCGCAAATCACTTAATTTTCTCCTGGGCATGATATCTGTAATAAACAAACAACAATTTTAGTAAGAAAACGGTTCAATTAATGAATTTATGGAAGGACAACATGTTATAAGTTATAATATTATAAATTAATAAATTAAGATATAAAATCTTACTATATTCTTATGTCGTATCAATTCTCATAAATATCTTCATCCACGTCCTTCCGAACCCATTGAAATTGTGTAGTATTAGTGATAGTTTCATCTAAGTTTTGTGCTACAAAAGGTTAAGATTCTGATCTTGTTTCAATGTCACCTCTACTTCCATCCTAGAATTTTATCAAGTCTCTGGGGTGTTACAGAGCATAACATACCAACCCTCATCCATTGGACAAAGTTAATTAAATATATCATTAACCAAAGTTAGTTCATGTTCACCCAATCCTATAACACCATTCTTAACGAACCAACAGAGTTAATTTTGGTTAAATAGCCAATTTAAGCTAATAAACAACCGGTTGGTTTCTTGTAATGGATTGAAGAATAAGTGTAGCTCAATTAAGAGTTCCAATAAGATTGATGAAGGGGATAAAAGAATATTATGCTTAACCCAAATCATATTGAATTAAGCACTAAGACTGGCCCCCAAGAGTTCAACCCAAATGATATTAGTATGGCTTGCTTTGGAAATCTACAACTGAATTTAAAAAAAATAATTGAAGCTAGAAAGCTAAAAGTTTTTTGAATACTTCAGGCTCTTTAAGTAAACTTTTTAATCATGG